AGCCATATGGGCTGCTCGCATCAAAGAAAATGGTCGTACACCTCACCCATTTTGACATAACAACACCATAACTCCATGCTGTCCTTAAGTCACCGACTTGTTATCCCTTCTCAGCTGAAAGCGCCGAAGAAACGTTTGAACAATTTTTCATTCAATGGAATTCGTGAATTCCTGTTTAAAACAAAAACTGTCCCTTCGATGCATTCGATCCCGGCACCTTTGGTGCTCGCAACTGCTCTTTAGCCCCTGTGCCACCATACCCTTGAAAGGAACACTGCGTTACAACACAGATAAGAAAAAAATAAATATGTGTTCAAATTAAATAATAAAAAAGTAACGGTTAGAATAAAACTATTAAATAAAATTACAGATAATACTATTAACAAAACTAGTCCAAACAACTGCATAACAGCCACATATCGTACGAAAGGCTCAGATTCTGTTCACTGTTCAAATCTTAGCGATCACTCCGATATTTTAGATCTCGTGCATCTTGTATAATCGCACTGGTTGTACTCAAGGCTTAGAGATTTGTAATTTTTTCTAGAGGACACCGAAACAACCATGCTTTAAAGTCAACATCTGTCGTTGAATGCGTTTGCATCTTTGAAAAACCGGACAGAAGGTTAGATGAATGAAAGGTTGATATGATCTGTGCATGGCGCAAGCTATAAAAACGAGTATTCGAAACCTATCTCAGATATGAAATAATGCGTGGAATAAGAGGGGTTGACCTGTCGGTAAACCATCAGACTCATAACCGAAGGGTGCCGATGCCGATTCGAGCTACAGTGGTGTCAATTGCCTTCCTTCCTTCTTATGTGGACAGATCCGTACCGTTCCGTGGAAAGGAAGCAAGAGAATACATGCTCTTATTAGATTTTGGCCTAAAAAAGCAGCGCATTCATAATGAAGGCATTGAAATGGAAATCATCGCCGCATAACAAGCATAATGAAGTGAATTATGCCACAAGAAATGCCCCTGCAATGTAAATGCAAGAGAGGTCGACACATTAACTGCAACGAATTTTAAAATAATATCCCAGGTATAGTTGCAGAAGTTCAAGTACCTCGGAACTGTAATTACTAGTGATGGAAAATTGGAAGAGATTGTCCAGCGAATTAGAGTAGCCAGTGGCGTTCTGCGTGAACTTGCCCGACCCATTGTGACGAAAGCAGACCTCAGCCTGAAGACTAAGGTTTCGGTATTTAAGTCGATCTTAATCCCCACACTTCTCTACGGGCATGAGTCGTGGACCATGACTGAAAAATGTCGATCCCGGTTTTAAATAGCTGGCTTTACGCGTCTCTACATGGTCCGGAATACAGACATCAGCGAAAGCCTTGGCATAGAGACCTTGCTTCTTCAGATTGAGAAGTTACCGCTGTGACGGTTTCGGAATGTTCTGCGAATGCCTCCTGAAAGGAAGGCGAAGCAACTATTTTTTGCCCAGCCGATCGGCAGAAAGTCCAGGAAAAGGACAAGGTTAACCTGGTAAAATATATGGAAGGAGTCTGTTCCAGACTCCGGTTGTCTTCTTCCTCTGCGACCCGAAAGAAGTGGTTATGGAAGATGAAGAAAGTCTCACGTACAGAATTAGCTTCATAATCTTGGAATGAAGCAAGAAACTGAACACTGCACTGGTCATCAAGTTGCAGGCATTGCCTCTGAAACACCGGGACAAGTGCATTGACAATGCGTTAAGTGCAAAGCATACGAAGTCTCCGATTTCCCGCTTTGGCCAACAGTGTTCTTGGCATTCACAGTGTCTTCTCAACAATGTTACCCCATCAAATATTTTGGCATATGTCTGAAGAACTGCTTCGACTTGTCAAACCGAAATGGATCCAACCTTGAAAAAACCCTCACTTAACGCAATACACTACTTATATCTCCTCCTACTCGCCACATAATTGGCTATCGTACTCATAACTGCATTCACCGTCTCATCCTGCATGGTAATCATCTGCAATATACTGTCGATGATCAAAGAAAGACTTCAATATACTTCGTCAACCGAGCCTCCGGATCCCAGCAATCAACAAACATAGCAGAAAACAACCATCGACCGGAATGCAAATTCATATTCAAGAATTCCCTCAAACTTTCATATTCAATATTAGAAGAACCCAATCGCTCCATGCACGGAAGATTTTCGAAAACCTGTTCCATGATAATAGAAACAGTTTCAACATAATCCCATCCGAAACCAAGCCGTATCGCCATTTGATTCAATTCCTTCTTTCTAACAGAGCATAAAGAGTTTGTTGCCAACCAGCCAGGAACGAATTCATGGTCTCATCTTCTTCCCCTCATTTTTGTACACTACCGTCGTGCTACGTGAAAAGTTGCTTTTTGGGAAATGTCTGCTGTTGCTTACGGCTACAATGTAACACAAAGGAATAAACTTGATTTGGCTTAAAGTTCAATGTCAAAATTTTAAACCAGCAGCTTCTGTAAAAAGACCTTCTGAGAAACAAAGGATTTTAGGTCACAGAGCACACGCTTTGAATGAAACATTACTGATCCATTAAGAACGTATTCACAGTTCAAGGGTTTCCATAAAATTTTGACACCTGCACACAAAACGAAATTAAATGGAACGTATAGTTTAGAATTTTTTTAAGCACGATAAGAAAAAAACACCAGTGACATTATTTTGCGACATATAATAATGATTTTATTTGCCTAATTGCATAGCACTAGAATTTTGTATCCGATCTATCAACGTCTGAGGTCTAAATATAGCAAAAGCCAACAATTAAACACCTGTTTGAGGCAAAATTCTTGTTTTCACGTTTGCAACCTACGGTAGAACAGCTGTTTGATCAAAAGGTTCATAGAAAAATTAGAATACTTTAATCACTCTTTTTAGGAATTATCCGATGCCACTTGGATAGTATTTCGTATATATTTGCCAGCGGTAAGTAGCAATATTGTTGGTGCTCAGTATGCGCTTTTTAATTCAACACATTAACGCAGTGTATACGTGCTAGATACTGCAGGCGCTTAGATACCATGGACCCGCAACCTGTTTAAATTCTTTCCCCTGGACGATTAGGGGCAACGTTGCAGCGCAACCAGCTGGTCATCAGTCTTACACTACCGCAGTATTTCTGTAAAGTAAATCACCTTATTTTACAGTTTTTCTTTGCATAAATCCGATATGAGCATCGTAAAAACAAAATCCGGTGAGGTAGTTTTGCTTCCGCTTTATTCTTCAGCACACACGAAAATTGCGCAAGTTTATACGTTGAACTAGACTGTCAAAGTATTTCGAATATTAACATAAATTTAAAAATATATTTTGCATGCTATTCTGAGCCTCCGGGATTAAGGCAAGCTGAGTCTAAAAACGTCATTGTCTGAGTTGAAATCAATCTTCCTCCGATGCTCACGTATGTTCATGAATCGTGGGCAATGACAGAAAAAATCTGTCCTCAGACACAGTGGGCTACAGTTGGCTATCTGAGGCAAATCGATTAGCCATCGACAAAGTCAGAAGTTGAGTCGCTGAGAAAGTCTGTGTGAAACGACTGTTTCTGCCACAGTTAGAATCATAGCTGCAGTTTGGTCATGTTTTGCGACTGCTACAATAAAAGAAAGGAAAGAGATATCACTTGCTCAACCGAATGACCGAAAACCTGTAGGTAAGCCAAGAATGATATGAGGTTATTGTTTAGACAGGCTCTGTTACAGACAAGCGTTTTTTTCTACAGAGTCTTAGACGTTATCGCAAGATCGGGAACGTTGGAGACTCTTTCGAATGTTCTGCATCCGCAGCATGAAAGAATAAGAGACCATTGAAGCTGACTGACTGAAATTTTATGTAGAGCAGTTGCCATAGAAAAACATGAATGAATTGATAATTTTATATTTCATCAAGCTTCATCTTCATCTTCATCTTCCATCGCCGCTTCTCCTTTCGGGTCGCGGAGGCAGACGCGTC